TGTTGTGTTAGTGTATGCAGTGTATGTGTGTGTTATTGTATGCAGTGTGTGTGTGTGTTATTGTATGCAGTGTGTGTGTGTGTTATTGTATGCAGTGTGTGTGTGTTGTGTTAGTGTATGCAGTGTGTGTGTTGTGTTAGTGTATGCAGTGTGTGTGTGTGTTATTGTATGCAGTGTGTGTGTTGTGTTAGTGTATGCAGTGTGTGTGTTGTGTTATTGTATGCAGTGTGTGTTGTTAGTGTGTGATCTGGGGTGAGGGGGAGGAAGGGGCATTTTAACATTAATTTTTTATTAATTTAATTAAATGTTTCTCCCCCCTCCCTGCTTACCTGTGTCCAGGGAGGGGGGAGATTCCATCCCTGGTGGTCCGGTGGGGGGCCCCCCGGCTCCATGTTACCGCAGAGGGGGCCCAGGCAGCACACAGCTTCTCCTCTCTTCTCATAACTCTCGCGAGACCCGGTTACCATGGCAACGCTCCGCGGGTCTCGCGAGAGTTATGAGAAGAGAGAAGACAGGAGGAGAAGCTGTGTGCTGCCTGGCTGGGCCCCCTCTGCGGTAACAGGGAGCAGGGGGCCCGCAGCTGCACACATAGATAGCGATATGCGCTATCTATGTGTGCAGAAAGGGAAAGTGGGGCCCAGGACTGCCAGAGCAGTCCGGGCCCCCCAGGGCCGCCGGGCCCATGACAACAGTCACGGTTGTCACCCCCTGATGGCGGCCCTGAAGCCCTTGCATATATCTACAGGGGGTCAGAGGAACATAATCGATAAGGCTGTAGCCCTTAAATAACCCCTAACCTTAGTGTCAAATTATCGTGCTGTCTGAGGTCTATGTAACATCTGTGGTATCTGTTGAACAATCAGCTAAGAGCCCCACACACATCAATATAGACTCAGTGGTAACCTAGAGGACAGTTACCAATAACTCAAAAAACCTCTATCCCTAAAGTACCGCGGTACCGCACAAGGTTAGTGCCTAGCTGAACCGACTGACCCTAGTAGCAGTAAGGAAACTTAGAAAATTCATTGCTAAACGTGCTACCCACGTGGAACAAAAGAAGTGTTAAGCTAAAATAGCCCGATGCGCGTTTCGGAGTGCTCACACATATATATTTATTTACGTTTATTTTTTTATTAATTCCATTTCTAGTCACTACCTGATGATGATGCTTGTGTATGACTCTGAGGCATTAGGTTCACCATTCCTTCATTATCTAATTTCATATTTAGCTCTCATATTTTTGTATTTATGTATTTGGTTTATGTACAACATTGTGGTCTTTGTTTTATGAAAATTATTTTTAAGGATGGAGGTGGAAAGCAGGGCCGGACTGGCCCACCGGGATACCGGGAAATTTCCCGTTGGGCCGTCGGCACCTGGGGCCGGGCAGACAGCTGGCTCTTCTTGCGGCCGCAGAGGGAGCTCTTTTGGCGGCCGCAGAGGGAGCTGGCTGTTCTGTCTCTGCTCCCTCCTCCCCAGCCAGCTCCCTCTGCGGCCGCCAAAAGAGCTCCCTCTTCGGCCGCAAGAAGAGCCAGCTCCCCCATGCGGCCGCCATCAGACTGAGCTCCCCATGCAGCCACCAGCACACAGGTAGAAATTATGTGTGTCAGTGTGAGTGTATGTGTGTGTGTCTGTGTCATGGTGTGTGTGTGTGTCTGTCTGTGTCATGTGTGTGTGTTCTGTCTGTCAGTGGTGTGTCTGTGCCATTGTGTGTGTGTGCTTTCAAGTGTGTGTGTGTGTGTCTGTTCTGTGTCATGGCGTGTGTGTCTCTGTCTGTCATGGTGTGTGTCTGTGTCATGGTGTGTGTGTGTGTGTGTCTGTCTGTGTGTCATGCAATGTGTGTCTGTGCCATTGTGTGTGTGTCTCTGTCTGTCATGGTGTGTCTGTCTGTTTCCGGTGTGTGTGTGTGTGTGTCTCTGTGTCATGGTGTATGTGTGTGTGTGTCTGTCTGTGTCATGGTGTGGCCCTGTCTGTCATGGTGTGTGTGTGTATGTGTCTCTGTCTGTGTCATGGTGTGTGTGTGCATGTATCTGTCTGTGTCATGCAATGTGTGTCTGTGTCATTGTGTGTGTCTGTCTGTGTCATGGTGTGTGTGTCTCTGTCTGTCATGGTGTGTGTGTCTGCCTGTGTCATGCAATGTGTGTCTGTGTCATTGTGTGTGTGTCTGTCATGTAATGTGTGTATGTCTGTGTCACGGTCTCTCTGTGTCGTGGTGTGTGTCTGTGTGTCATGGTGTGTGTGTCTGTCTGTGTCATGTAATGTGTGTCTGTGTCACAGTGTGTGTGTATATGTGTCACGGTCTGTCTGTGTTATGGTGTGTGTGTCTGTCTGTGTCACGGTCTCTCTGTGTCGTGGTGTGTGTGTCTGTGTGTCATGGTGTGTGTGTCTGTCTGTGTCATGTAATGTGTGTCTGTGTCACAGTGTGTGTGTATTTGTGTCACGGTCTGTCTGTGTTATGGTGTTTCTTTTTTAAGGTGTGTGTCTGTCATGGTATGTGTGTGTCTCTGTCTGTGTCATGGTGTGTCTGTGTTTCTGTCTGTGTCACTGTGTGTGTGTCTGTGTCACGGTCTGTCTGTGTTATGGTGTGTGTCAGTCATGGTATATGTGTGTGTATGTGTGTTTTTACTCACCTTTTTTCCCCCACGTCATGCTGGTCTCCCCTTCACTGGCCCTGCCTCTATGGCTGAGATCATCAAGCTTGATGGATGATCTCAGCCAATCCGCACTGACACAGAAAGCACCTCTAGTGACCGTCTGAGTGTCTGTCACTAGGAAGCAATGTAAGCACTGCCTTTTCTCTAAAAAGTCAGTGTTTACATTGAAAAGCCTGCAGGGACAGGCTACAGACACCAGAACCACTACATTAAGCTGTGTGTGTGGGCGCATCTGCTAGTGAGTGGGCTTGCTTGTGTGTGTGTGTGCCTGCTACTGAGTGAGCTTGTTTTTTTATGTCAGTGACCTTATGTATATCAGTGAGATTGTTTATCTATGAGGCTGTGTATCAATCAGCTTGTGTCAGTGAGATTGCCTGTGTCTGCATGTGAGTATGCTTACTGTATAATTAAACATTTTACTCTGAAAGGACCGATATTTTATATTGGAAAAAGCAATATATATATATATATACATATATATATATATATATATATATATATATATATATATATATATATATATATCATCTAGGGTGGCAAGACATAGCCTTACATATTACATGCGACAATATGTGGCGCAATGACTTATGGGGCTGGCATAGATTCTTTTTTCCAGCTTTGGAATCCCCAGTCCGGCCCTGGTGGAAAGGCAAAAGTAAGGAACAAAAAATATAGCAGATGTGATTCATGTGGACATTCATTCCTCCTTTTATTCAGACATAATGTATGTTGATGAAAAAACATAATGAGAAACAGCCGGTCAATGCAAATATTTTTTGCTGCTATAGCAACCTATACAATATGCTATGTATCACAAAACATTATGTAAAATACATAAAGTAAGGCATATCTGTGTAATGGAAAAAATAACAATAAATTATCATTTTATATGTTTTGATATTTTTTTCAGACTTTATATGCTGTGAGAAAGAAAATAAACTAATCAAGACAACATATTTCAGATTTCTTCTCCTTACCATGTAATTTTTTACTGAACTGTATTTTCTGCAGGGCAGCAAATTCAGTGTATTGCCTGACAACATGAAGAATGAATATGTTCTCAGGGAAATGTTGTGTAACTGGAAAACCTATACGTGACAACTTTCACCAACCACGTGCTAAAATTATATATCCAAAAATTGGATGGGGGTGGGCAAGTAATGCAGTCTGTTTCACTGGCACCGGACAAAGGATATCAAAAGGGATAATTAGGTGGTCAAAACATTGTCTCTGTCTATGCACCTATAGTAATAAAAATAATTGCTCAAATTTAGAAGATCTTCTCACATTTATTCACATTTGTTCATGCTGGTCAGCCAACTAATGGCACACCATACAGAGAGTGCTGTTAGTGTATACCATGCATATCTAATGATGCGCTCACACTACAGTTTCTGGGGACACTTTTGGGGACAGTGAGACAGCACCCTGAAATAGGGATTGTTTTGCTGAACTCAGGACAGTTATGAGGCCTGTAAAATACAATGGCCAGTCAAGTTATCCTCAGGCACAAGAGCACTGATTTCTGAGGCTTGGTGAACTTTACCGAAACAGCATTTACTTAATTCTAGAGGACAGGGCTTTTCACTGTTAAAAGCCATGATGCTGCTGTAAGAGCCTGACACTGACGTTGGAATGTGCTGTGAAGAAAAGCTTTAAGGATATTTAGTAATGCCTGGGCTGCATCTGCTCTTCTAATTGAACTGTGAATAGTTTTAAACTGACATAATGCGAATAGATTGCAAGGACAATGTGCCCTCTCTTTAGCTAGTGTTAGGCATTTGCCCTGCAATATTTTCCCAGATAAGTCAATGTATAATCCACAGAGAAGCCCATAGATGTCAGGTAGAATGTTAGCAGCTAAATCCGTTCACGCATAAAAAAGTTAAATATTTACTAGTATGGAAAATGGAGCGTCAAATTGTTTTAGGAAAATCATTGGTTTGATACATGGGTAATTTTTTGCTCTGGGCATAGCTGTCATAATTAATACCAACGAGGCAGACATACTGCTTTCACTAACCCTTGGAGTATGCATGACTTATATAATGTGCTGCTCACCCCCCTGGCACTTAAAGGGTTATATATACTTTAAAAAAAATCATATACTTCTTGGTGCTTTTGATTTTATAAATAGGCACTGCTTCTTTTACCTGCAGCAATTGGGCTACATTTATTTATTGGCTATAATGATGTTATGTCCATAAAACCAACAGAAGTCCCTAGAGTGACAATGCAAGAACCATAATGAGCCTTTGCTTACTGGATTGGTTATTCTATGTGCAGGCCTGTGATCCTGTTACCCAACATACAGGGCTCAATTTGATATGTGTCAAATTTGCATAGAGCATACAATTATTTATGCTTGAAAGCCAGGAATAACTGGTATTTATATTACCATGGCTCATGGTCTGACTTCTTAGAGTAAGTCACGACTTTTGAGCCATAACCTCCTGTTATTTAAATGCACACAGGAATTTGGGAGTAGTGCACATGTAACTTTTTCTTTGGTTTTTATTCTAAAGATAAACCATGCCAAAAAAAATGCCAGTACGTGTAAAATGAGACAGGGAGAAATGAAAGAGAAAACAGGATTAAAAAAACAAACAATATATTTAAGGATTAATAAAAGATTAAAACAAACATTTTTCATTAAAAAGTCAAAGTTAATATTTCAAGATGTTGGGCAGAAGACTAGTGGATAATATGTAAAATGCTACTTCCTTAGGCAGATCTACCAGTGGTTCAAATGGACCAGACCACCAGAGCTAAAAG